GCTGAAGGCCTATTCTACCCCGGAGTTTCACGGGTCACTCTGTAAGGATAAGATATATGGATGAACAACGTCTTTATTACAATTAGGAGCGACGTTTCGATGCAGGTTCTAACACCGTTATCAAGCAACTGATGATGTCAGAACCTACACCGAAACGTGGCTCCTAATTATAACAAAGAAGTTGCTCATCAATACATCTTATCCTTACTAAGTCCTCTAACTTCTAAATGCCTCTCAAAGAAAAATATTATTCGACCGATTTTACAACCCTTAATTATTCCTCTTTCGAGACCGCCTAATGGTAGAGCGTCCGCCCGGAGAGCGGAAGGTCCGGGGTTCGATCACCGGCCGCGTCATACCAAAAGACGTTAAAAGATGGTACTTGTTGTTACCCTGCCTGGCGCTCGGCATTAAGGGGCTAAAACAAGAACTGGTCGGCTCGGAGTCAGTATACTGTGTCTGAGTGGGGTATCCATGTTAAACTGCGGCATGGTATCTCAGTGAGCTAGCACTATACATCGGCATCAGTCCGGACTAGTACAAGCAGCCACACAAACACACACTCGTACATGCACGTCGCTATATAAGTGCAATAATCTTGGACGCGACGTGATATTGCTGGAATATTTCTTAAAAGCGGCGTAAAAACATACTCAGTTATTCACTCTAAATATAAATCATCGAACGACCAAGGTACAAAGTCCTGATAATAGTGCTCGTGGGCTGTAGTTTTGCACATGCGCAAATAGCCAGGTGCATCTGAAGCAGTGATAACCAGACACTGATTCGGTATTGAAAGAAATCAATGTTTCTCATCTTCAATGAGATCATTACAGTTGAAACACACACTGTCTTCAACATTTAAGTTTACATATCTGCCTGTTTCGATTTTTAGAGGTTCAATACCAATGATAAGTTTTGCAAAGGAAGAACGGTAACTCCGGGGCATACAACTCCTGACATAGCTTTTACAGCAACACCCATATAAACTCTATATGTGCGGGGTGGCTTGTACCAGTATTAAAAGTCTTTTTCCTGTCAGCATACTATTATAATATTATTTTCCATAAAAAAATAAACATCTTGCATTTTGGTCACAAATAACTTTATTATTTAAACCAGTGGTGATGTTAAAGATCATGCATGTTGTATTTTGCAGAAAAACGTGAATGCCAATCCTTACGAATAGCGGCAAATCTTTCCGTCCATATAAAGGCCGATCAGGCATTTTTATAAAACGACACCACTGTCTAGCTATACATATTCACTGTTTGACAATCCCCATTAAGAGCTAGATAAGATGCATATCTGACCACGCCAAGAATAAAACTGACAGCCAGATGGTGTACTGCAGAATGAAAACCGAGGTCTGTAATCTTATCTCCAGACATCGAGTCAGGACGTGTGATGGCTTCACGCTGGATATAACTATTGATATAAATAACACGCCAGGTGCACCGACTAAACAGAACATTACGTTACTATTGAGATTACTCATATTTGAATATTTGACTTGAGTGGTTTTCTATCATCCTCGAAGCCAAGGTGCCCACTTATATGATAACCAACCTCCTATGTCAAGATATGTATCACCCTCTCTTGTGAGCATTGTAACCAATCAGAGACTACAATATTAAGGACCTCGTCCGTGGACTTGTAGATAGTGTGTCTGCCCGGAGAGTGGAAGGTCGGTGGTTCGATCCCCGGGCGCTTCATACCAGAAGACATTAAAATATGGTACTTGTTGGACATTAGACAGTAAGGAGATAGAACAATGTCTGGTCGGTCCGGAGTCAGTATACTTTGTCTATATTAAACTGCGGTATTGTATCTTAGTGAACTGGCACTATAAAAACGACGTAAGTCTAGTACATGTCAGCACTAGCAACCAACCCACACATACGTACACGCACGTCGCTTTATAGGTGCAACAATCTTGAACACGACGTTAAACCCCCATTTCATCACACCTCACCTACAATTTAAGTAAAGTGATACTTTCTGCTTTGTGTTATTTGGACCTGTGGGACGTTTTGGATTGGTCTGTCACATGAATTTTGCTCCTCTATATGTTCTCTACATCAATTATCATCCCCCCCCCCCCCCCCCCCCATGTCAGAATGATGAGCTCTGATTGGTCCACGTGATCTTGTTAAATACTTTATCATACCTACATGTCAAAAGGATGAGATTTGATTGGTTCACGTGATCTTGATGAAATACTGGGTAACCCACCTTGGAGGGGAATACATTTCTCAGCGGGGGAATAAATATCGTATACCCTGCAACGAGCAAGTCAGTCTGCACGTGGATTTCTGAGAGGCAGAACACATCTCTTATACCCCGCTTCGAAAAAAACCCGCGCACGCTCTTTCCCCGATTCACGTGACACAGCACAAATAAACCCCAGCTCAATCGAACAACAGTTTCCTATCAATTTTAAATTCGTTTAATTCTTTTACAATGTTATATTAAAACATGTCTGTAAGAAAAATTCGTTGTAGCAGGATCACGAGGGGTACATTGGGTTTTATTCGTCCCGGCGCATAAAACCCCATGTACCCCAAAAGGTGATCCTGCTATAATTTTGACAGTAAGCATACCATGGACAGTAAGCATAACCTCAGGGGTATATAGGAGGCGATCGGTGGAACGGATGAAGGCTTTTCTTTCTGTGTGATAATTTACACCATCATATTGTTCATCATATAAGTCAAGGCCTTTATGCCACTGGTTCCTCTACAATATGACTGTACTGGTGTACATGCATTTTTTTCCGTGGTGTTTTTCAGGCGAACCATTTACTTGTCTTTGCATGTGTTTGTGACGGGTGCCACCGGTGGGACAGGATACGTTCCCTTTTTCGCGAACACCCGGTATCATCACTATTTTATAGTCATTCATAAACACATGCTCATGATATAGTCGGAATCGTACAATCGTCTCTGCTTTTAGCAAAGATTTCTATTGGATATGGAAATAGTTGTGTCGCTTTATTCAATCTGACAGAGACACAATTTGATTCAGCAACATGAAAAAAGTCATGCGTTCGCAAAAAGAATTGAATCATAAACAATGAATTGTAATGAAAAGTATGCTTGGTGAAGAATACAGCTTTTTTTAAGAACTGTTTTATCCAATTAAAGCATATCCCCAATAGACGCCCTTATTTTCAAAGCGTGTGAAAATTCTACATTGCCGTATATAATTAGTGTTAAACCATTCTGATGACGTCACGTTGTTCTTGGAGTTGGTTCTGGGCCATGGGTACACTAGTCATTCTGAATGTGCATTTTAGACAAGTAAACCTGACGCACCTTCAGGTCATTTTACAAAATCATAAAGGAATCAGGCAGGTACCATAACGTTATTTAACGTAAATCATTAGAAAAAATGTCTCGAGTTACTTATAGAATTGTCTAACATACTGTAGGGCGGAAGCAGGGACGCCATGGCCAATATTCATAACACCTAAAATGCTTACAAAACACTGTTTTGTTGAAGGTATCTTGAAAGATATTCAGGAACTCTTTGATCAACTGTAAGAACACTGTGTGAGGCGCCCCTGCGTGATGCACGTGAAATATGTTTCCTGAGCCTTTCGAACGTGCACCTCGCACTTTGCCGACTCGGGTTATGAAATGCATGTCCTGGGGCAAGCATACCTTTAATTTTGGACCAACACAATTTCCTGAATATAATTTGCCGATGTTGATGGGCCCATTATGAGCAAACATTGCCCTGATCAAGATAACAGCAATTTCTTTTCTATCTCTTCGTTTCGTTGAACGACACGCTACTAGATCACACGTACGTACAAAGCATAAAGTAACATAAAACGAACTGCATGAAACACATATGTCGCAGTTCATAAACGGATAAAGATTTAGTCCTGATGTAAGTAAATATTTAGTTGTTAATTTTATACAATTTCTTCCAGGTTGCCATGTTTACGTGTGTTTTGTAAAATTGCTCTGTCATCAAGGCACATTTTAGAGAAAAAAAGAAAGTTCCTTCATAGGACCAGCACAGGTTTCTGGGGACCTGTCCAACCCTGGCGCCCCATGGAGAAAATCCAATTTAATTCTGCGAAGCGGAATTTGATCTCTGATGTTACTTTAGTCCAGAAAGGACGATGTATTAAAATAGTAAATTTGTTGGCCCATGGGCAATGCATAGTTTAAGAAATCAGAAAAAAACCTCAAAAGAAATCATTATGAATGTGAATTACACTTGATTAATTTCAACAAATACAAGTTTGAATTTTTGTTAAGAATATTAAAAATGCTGGTTTTGGGTGTATCTAAAGCATTTTTTTCTAATATTTGGACACGAGCAAATCTTTGGCCGAAGCTGATTGTCTTCGGATATGCAGATAAACATTTAAATTTTGGTCACGAACTTGCTTATACTTAGATTTTCTCTTGAAGGTCGACACACCAGCCGGTTGGACTCATGTTAGCCATACTTGTGTGTCTGACCATGTCAGATGTCTGATATTTGCAGGTGTAAGAAAGGAAAAAAGGCTTGTCGTAAAACCATTTGAACATTTCTGAAAACTATCACACCAATATTTAATTGTTTTAGAATTTAACATTTCCAGTGGACCACAAAGGGTCCAATATCTCATCTCCTCCTTCAGGTGAACTGTAAAGCCCTGGTTCATTTATCAGAATTACCAATACGTACTTTTAACTACAATACTGGTTTACAATCAAGATTAAATGCGACATTTTTTCTGTGGCAGAGGTTAAAACGTGAGATAGGATATCCGTATGTAATCACAGAAGCACATATTATTGAATATTTCATTTTTGCGTCCATTGTTTTCAAACAAAAAACGATTTATACAAATTCTACAAGTTCAAGTGTCAAAATCAGTGAGTTTGAGTAGAAACTATTAATGACGTATCGAGACTATATCAGTTTCACAGATTAATGTAAGTGTTTTAGGTTACCGTGTGTTCTTGGCCTACCTGTAGGTATAAACCTACGCTGATTACGTTGTCTTCTAGATAAGACTTTACCTGAGAGTGTTTTGTTCACTTCCTTGTCAAAGAGACAATGGTGCCAACGCTCACATTCCTCACTGGGCTCTCCATATGTCTGCTGGTTAGCGGTACCGGTGAGTTGGCGATTATTATCGAACCGAGTCGAAATCAATAACTAGTGACAAGTAACGTTTTGTTGTTTTGTTGAGTGACTTGTATTTTGACATTCTTTTAACCTGTCAACTTTCAAATATACTGACACCGCCTCCGTGGTCTAGTGGTAGAGCGTCCGCCCGGAGAGCGGCCGGTCCGGGGTTCGATCCCCGGCCGCGTCATACCAAAAGACGTTAAAAGATGGTACTTGTTGTTACCCTGTCCGGCGCTCGGCATTAAGGGGCTAAAACAAAGACTGGTCGGCTCGGAGTCAGTATACTGTGTCTGAGTGGGGTATTCATGTTAAACTGCGGCATGGTATCTCAGTGAGCTAGCACTATAAATTGGCATCAGTCCGGACTACTACAAGCAGCCACACAAACACAGACACGTGCATGCACGTCGCTATATAAGTGCAATAATCTTGGACGCGATGTTAAACCCCATTTCACCTCACCTCACCTCAAATATACTGAACAAAAAAGTTTGGGATCATGAACATATGTGGGAATATTTAGTTGTAACGAAGACTGAGCACACAGTTTCATAAATAATATCCCCAAATATTCATGATCCTTCATTTGTTTGTTCAGTATACTTAAATCCAATGTAAGATTGACTTGATAGGTACCGTTTGTGATCGACCATTTGCATGGCATTCGAATTGTCTCAGGTTACATGATCATCGCTGAATGTTCCTGGGGGTGGTTCTAGACTATGACTAATAGTATGTATACCACATTTACGTGGGTTGCCCCTGAAATAAGGCATGTTAAGTGTGCTGACCAGTCTACATCATCAGTGTTGTCAAGACGTCATAGATACATGTATGTTTAACCCGGGTAATTTGCATTTTCTTATTACTACGAGTTGTCGTTGTCTGTACGAGCTGTCACTCGACGTCCTTGATGATGGAAACGGTTAGTAATCATGGATGAACTTCATCCATTATACACCTTTCGATTAACACCTATACAAAACCCTTTTCAATTTCCTCAGGATTTTTACTTCAGAGGGAATTATCCTATTCTCCAGAACAAGCAACATAGCTTTGATTCCATCAGATATTATTTATGATATACATTCTTTCCATTTTTTTCTGTGTGCTGTAAACATCGATTTTCTATTATTTGTCTTCCAATTATTTTCTTTGAGTAGATTCTTCAAAATCAGTTCTCATTGTTATTCATATTTCATTTTACGATTTAAGAGTGTCTATCTTGAAAATTCAAGGACCAAGTTCATTTTCTCATTTTATTTAAAAAATGCTTCTAAGTCCACATTTGTGGAAAAGACAGTTTTTCAACATTTGTTTTCTGACAACAGAATCTTAACGTCAATATGAAGGACCAAAGACACGAATGTACCACCAGGAACACTTTCATCTGGAGAGACATGGCATTTAAAAGTAATAATCAACCACAATAACGCCATCTTCCCGAGGCAAGAGAGTTAACTGACTATAAAAGTCCAGTTTCCACCCTTGCCGAACTTGGCTGGTACAATAGAGTAAGAGATTGTGTGAAGCCCATTTCTGGTGTCCCCCGCCGTGATATTGCTGGAATATTGCTAAAAGCGGCGTAAAACCATACTCACCCACTCTTGCCTCGGGAAGATGCAATAACACAGGGTAACAATATATACCACTTTTATAAGACGAAACAATGGCCACATGTTGAAGTAAGATTTGTCTCCCCTTAATAGCGACGCTACGACCTTCAGTTTCGATGCAAACCCTACTATGTATGTACGAGATCGCATGCAAATAGGTGAGACCACGTTTGAATACACTTCTTGAATTTGAGTAAGTAGCACTTACTTGCCATGTTTTGTCAGTCAAGGTCATGAAGTCATTTTGCGGAGATGTGGTTGTCATTCCGTTCCTTCAGCTCGTAGTCGCCATTTGGTGACTCTGATCGAGACGTTTAATGTTAACTTCACTCCCCACAAACTTTTGTGTGAAGTTTTGTGAACAAATATTTTAAACACTATAAATGAAGATTTAATTTGTATCTACATGTACCGAAAATAACAGGAACAGCGTGCCCCAGTCGTCTAAGGCGCCGTTGTGTGGGGCTGAATTCCTTCATCTTTCCGAGGCAAGAGAGTTAACTGACTATAAAAGTCCAGTTTCCACCCTTGCCGAACTAGGCTGGAATTACTGGGCTCGATCGTAGCGCCACCAGTGGCTATTACCAGTTATGTCCCTTCTAAGCCTCTCCCATGGACCAATCAGATTCCACCTCTCGTATCACTTGCGTTTGCTTCACACAAAATGGTGGCGCCCAGTCAAAACGATCTGATCGATAATCAAGTTCTATGTTGTGATAAAACGGGTCTTACATCGCGAAATGCATCAAATCACGTGAGCACTTGGAGTAAAAATTATGAAATGATTTGGAAAATATCGGCTGACAACGAGTTGGCGGTGCACATGTTTTGCAAATCCTGCAATCGACCGAAATCTGCACGAGTTTCCGAACCGGATTTCGATTTCGGTGCGCGAATTTGATTATACTATGCACAGACTCGTTAGTCCAGCCAAAATGTAACTCCATAATACCAGCCTAGTTCGGCAAGGGTGGAAACTGGACTTTCAAAGTCAGTTAACTCTCTTGTCTCGGGAAGATGAGTTCCTTAGGCTCACAGAAACGTGTGAGAGTGCTTTCGTATTCCAGATTATGTTTCTTGGTTTATCAGAACCATGCCCATGTTCTTGTGTGTTAACCGTCTTAAACTCACACATCAAACTAACACGCCGTGATAGAACGTCGTTAAATTGAATCGGTTGACTAGTAATGTAGAGACGTGTACTATGTATGTTAAAGGTCAGATTGCCAAAGTCGATCTCATGACTCCAAGTGAGGACATCCGACAGACGTGTGTGTTACCAAACAAAGTCAAAGTAGCCATTACCTCAGAGAACAAGACGGTGCATCTGAATCTGAAGAAAAACGAACATGTGGATCATGAGGCCCCAGTGTTTGTGATCAGACACGACGAAGGTGGACGTGCACACGCAACACAAGAGCCCACTCTTGAATTACAGGTCGGTCTAATGCCAAGTCTCTAATTGACATGTGTCAGCTTTCACTACCTAAAGCTTATAGTCAATAGATGATCAATATGCTGAATGTTTTGTTTTGTTTGTTGTTTAACGCCGCACTCAGCAATATTCCAGCTATATGACGGCAGTCTGTAAGAAATCGAGTCTGGACCAGATAATCTAGTGATTGACAACATGATCATCGATCCACGCAATTTGGATCGATGACATGCATCAACCAAGTCGGCGAGCCTGACCACCTGATCCCGTTAGTCGCCCCTTACGACAAGCATAGTCGCCTTTTACGGCAAGCTTGGGTTCCTGAAGACCTATTCTCCTCCGGATCTTCACTGGCATTGTTTTGTGAATGGTGTCTTTAATCAGCCACTTCACCAAATGTGTATACCAACATGTGTTCGGTATGACATACAACCTGTGCTTGATAACCTTGATTTTAACACTGTGTTGATAATGTTAACTTTTAACATAATGTTCCATATTTTTCACGAGCAGCAAAAGTATTTCTATAAGTCTTTGATAGGCAGGTGTGGTCGGGTAGCCTAGTGGTTAAAGCGTTCGCTCGTGACGCCGAAGACCCTGGTTCGATTCCCCATATGGGTACAATGTGTGAAGCCCATTTCTGGTGTGCCCCGCCGTGATATTGCTGTAATATTGCTAAAAGTGGCGTAAAACCAAACTCATCCACTCACTCTTTGATAGGCATTTTGAAGTTGGAAAGTTTTGTATGGATAACAACTTCTGCATCCTTTGTAACGACGTTTTAGACTTACTTCTTGTCCCTTCATCAGGTGTATTGATAGTTACAATAAAGTAGCATCATCTGTGAAAAATATATGTCACTAAATTGATGACGAGGTAAACATACATCCAAATAGATACATGAGAACAAATGGACCAACGTCACATTATTTCAGTCAGGTGTGATCTATTAAATTGTTGGTTGGTTGGTTTGTTGTTTAACGCCGCACTCAGCAATATTCCAGCTATATGACGGCGGTCTGTAAATAATCGAGTCTGTACCAGATAATCCAGTGATTAATACCATGAGCATCGATTCACGCAATTGGGATCGATGACATGTATCAACCAAGTCAGCGAGCCTGACCACCCGATCCCGTTAGTAGCCTTTCACGACAAGCATAGTCAACTATTAAATTGTAGTATTGACTTTTATATTTTGAGCTTATACTTCACAGGGTCTGGGAATGTTTCAAGACAGAGACAAAGGAGCCGCCATGAAGGTATCTTGCAAGAGACGACAGCGACAAGACATACAAATACAGCTGGTACGTATATTTATTGACGATAATATGTCTCAGATATTACATAGTTACAAATTAACATCAGCGTTAAATAATATCACATGAAATACATATGACCAAGGCTTGAGACATTGGTATTAATTTAATAAACTGCATGCTACATGTTGGTTGGTTGGTTTATTTTTACGCCGCACTCAGCAATATTCGTGCTATATGACTGCGGTCTGTAAATAATCGAGTCTGGACCAGACAATCCAGTGATTGACATCATGGGCATCGATTCACGCAATTGGGATACGATGACATGCATCAACCAAGTTAGCGAGCCTGACCACCCGATCCCGTTAGTCGCCTCTTACGACAAGCATAGTCGCCTTTTAGTCGCATGGGTGGCTGGAGACCTATTCTACCCCGGAGCTTCACGGGTCGCATGCTACATGTAATTTGTATAGCCGCCTTTAAATTGCAGGAGACCCGTGAAGATCCGGTTGAGAATAGATCTTCGGCAACCCGTGCTTGTCGAAAGAGGCGACTAACGGGATCGGGTGGTCAGGCTCTCTTACTTTGTTGATGCATGTCATCATATCCAAGTTGCGTGGATCGATGCTCATGACATCAATCACTTGATTGTCTTGTCGATTATTTACAGACCGCCGTCATTTAGCTGGAATATTGCTAAATGCGGCGTTAAACAAGAAAAAAACCCAAACAATCAAACACATTTCAGGAGTATTTCTGTTTCCGGCGTTAGGCAGCAAACGCTTAATTTATGAAAATTGTCTAAGTGGCGGGTGCTACCGGTAGAGTAGGACATGCTTACCTTTTTACGCGAACGCCTGGTGTCATGACTGATTTTCAGTGATCCATTCAATTTACGCCCAATGGAATCTATTTCGGCAGATGATCGAGACTCGTTATTCTCTCACGTTCATATTACACATCTTCAAGAATTAACTGGGATATTCCCTACGTTTACTTTATCTTAGGGGTCACAGGTGTCCCAGTCGTCTAAGGCGCCGCAATTCGCTGTGCAGAGTTGCGTCCCTTGGACACGCCAGAAACCTATGATTGTGGGTTCGAATCCCGGTTCGCCCCGATTATGTTTCTAGGTTTGTCAGCATCATACCCGTGCTCGTGGGTTTCACCGAAGTGGTAAACGTCTGAGACCTGCATCACTTCGGGCTTTCATCCCACATTAAGCTGACACGCCGTGATATATATATAACTTGAATACTGTTAAAAGCGGCGTTAAACACAACTCACTCACTCACTCACCCACTCACTACTTTCTCTTATGTTATGATGAACTTAATGTTTTGAATTTGAAAACGAGTACATTCTCTCAATATTGTTCTAGAAACAGAAGCATGTGTCATTGGATCCATATGACTTATTGCAGGAAGGACGTTTTGTTCACCCAAGTGGCAAGCTTTATCATCTTGCACCTCTTCAATCGCCATTGAAAACAGACTTCCAATTTGAAAAGGGGAATATGCACGAAATGACAACAACGGACCAGTTGTTTCATGCCACGGGTATGGTATTACGGTGTCCAGAAAATACGACTGATCGGTCTTTTTAGACGTCAGGACCATTGTCGCCATATTTAATTTGCAAAAATGTCTTATCATCAACACGTTTCTAGTTAATTGCTCGTGACTGGTCAATTGCTGGTTTATACAGGGAGAAAATGTTTATACTTGGTGGTGTACATTTATACCGCTGCAGTGTCACGGTAGATCAAAGTTAGTGCTTGTCCTTGAAAGGTCGCCGAATTACAGACTACTGAGTGAGTGAGTAAGTGAGTGAGTGAGTGAGTGAGTGAAGTTTTGGGCTGCTTTTATCAATATTCCATCAACATCCCGGCCTGGGACGCTAGAAATGGGCTCCACGCGTTGTACCCATGTGAGGAATCGAACCCGGGCCTTCGAAGTGACGAGTCTTACCCACTAGGCTACCCAACCGCCCCACATTCTCCTAGGAAAACCTACAAAACTATAGATGGAAAATATATACTTCTAAATTCAGATTGAAAGGCCCTTTTGACATAAGATATTGATTAATTGGAATAAAGTTAGAGTAACGTTGTGATCAGTATGATAGTGTGAGCAGTGCCTGGAGGAGTTTCTGGTCAGAATAACAAGAGGCGAGTAAATGGATCGGTGTTCAAACTCGGTGACGTATTCCGTTGTTAATCATATCACTGGTATGCATTGTCCAGTCGCCCGTGAAGATCCGGGATAGAATAGATCTTCAGCGACCCATGCTTGCCGTAAAAGGCGACTATGCTTGTCGTAAGAGGCGACTCACGGGATCGGGTGGTCAGGCTCGCTGACTTGAGTGGTGCATGTCATCGTATCCCAAGTGCGTGAATCGATGCTCATGATGTCAATCACATGATTGTCTTGTCCATTATTTACACTCCGACGTCATATAGCTGGAATATTGCTGAATGCGGCATTAATCAACATACAAACAACAACAGCATAGTCCAGTCTCGATTATTTACAAGCCGGCGTTATAAAACGTCAGTATAACTATTACTACATTTACAAATTCAGATAGGGCTGGACTATTCGTAGACAGACGACAAAAGAAGGCATCCGCGACACCTGACAGCAGAACAGTCGATATTGATACTACCACATTTCAAATAGACATCCTGGCATACGTCGACTGCCTGGAATTCCAAAGGTAAACTATTGTGCATTACTTCTTTCAGTGGTATTTAGAAGTTGGTGTGATGAAGTAAGACGAGTTTGATGAGTCAACAAGCAGAGTGGATCCACTGGCTTCCATCATCTCTATCAGTCTGCTTGTTGACTCTGTGTTCATTAGTCATCCACTGGCTTCCAATTATCTTAATCAGCTCTCTGTGTCCATCAATCAATTTACTGTATAAACTTTGATGTTAATAAGTATATATACCTATGTTGTTTAGCACTATCCATCACTTGCTTGATAAAGGTGTTAGGATCTACACCGAAACGTCGCACTAATTGTAATAATTGTCTTACTTTATTGTGCATTACCATAACGAAATCATATAATGTGTGGTAACCTTTTTTTCAACAAACTTGTTTATTTTACAACTATTTATGTTCATTATATCGCGAGTCGCACTGCCAGTTTGTTTTATCAGATGTTACAATTCCTATTTTTATCGTTGTGGCATACTGTGCATTAAATAAAACGAGTAACTGTCACCTGACTTATACACGGTATGTGAAAGTTAGCATGTGATCTTGATAAGACGACATCTTAGGGCAAATAATGTAGGCCATGATAAGGTTGTATACTTATAATCATACTGCATCTGTGATTTTCGGGGGCACGGGTGGCCTAGTCGTCTAAGGCTCCGCAATTCGCTGTGCAGAGTTGCGTCCCTTGGACACGCCAGAAACCTACTATTGTGGGTTGGAATCCTGGTCCGCCCGATTATGTTTCTAGGTTTGTCAGCACCATACCGTGCTTGTGGGTTGCATCAAAGTCCTGCGTCATTACGGGCCTTCTCTCACATGAAGCTGACACGCCGTGATATAGCTGGAATATTGTTCAAATCCGCGTTAAACCCAATTCACTAACTGTAGTTTTTATTGGATGATCGTGTTTCAGATGGATGAACATTTCCCATCAGGTTACACCAGCTCTTCGAAGACTCGACACTATTCAGCGCGTGAAACAGGCAGTGGCTCTCATTATGAACGATGTATGTAAATGGATCGTTTCACAAATAACTACTCTAAGAACCTGTTCTGGATCATCACTAGGTTACACTGACACGTGAAGATCCGAGTAGAATAGGTCTTCAGCAACCCATGCTTGTCCCAAAAGGCGACTATGCTTGGCGCAAGAGGCGACTAACGGGATCGGGTGGTCAGGCTCGCTGACTTGGATGATACATGTCATCGTATCCCAATTACGTGGATCGATGCTCATAATGTCAATCACTGGATTGTCTGGTCCAGACTCGATTATTTACAGACCACCGTCATATAGCTGGAATATTGCGGAGTGCGGCGTTAAACAACACACACACAAAAGAAAATGTTTACACTAGCTTTATTTTGCTCAATTACATTTACATCTCACAATATGCTGACAGATGAGGTATAAAATATTCATATGCGTATATGGAAAAGTTGCATGTACGTTCGTTCTCTTCCTGTCTGTCATTAAATGTATATTACCATTCCAGTTGTTTAATGCCCAAGAGCTTGTTCATTTTTTTCCATACACTGCAGATGAATCTTCGCTACAAAACGGTTTCTCCCAGTTTCAACATCCACTTGATAGGATTCATGATTGAGGTATGTTCATTTAGGCTCGATACATGCAGTGAGTGTGTGAGTGATTGAGTGTTGTTTCGCTGCAGTCAGCAATAATCTATCCATGTCACGGTAACCTTGAACCCAGAGGTTGATAGCACGAACAACAATTCTTGCAATCGGAAAAGTTGACACACAGTTACACAATTTTCATCGGCTATTATCAAAAGCATCTAATATTGTGGACATTTTCAATAAACTACACATAAACCTATCCTCAGCGTCATGATTCGGGGATCATGCAGATGATAAGACATAAAACGTCGCTTTTTCAACTTCCAAGAGTGCAGTTCAGCTGCAGCTGTAATGAACGATTTTATACCCACATTGAGTGAGTGAGTGAGTTGGGTTTAACGCCGCTTTTAACACTATTCCAGTTATATCGCGGCGTGTCAGCTTAATGTGGGAGGAAAGCCCGAAGTGATGCAGGTCTCAGACGTTTACCACTTCGGTGAAACCCACGAGCACGGGTATGGTGCTGACAAACCTTGAAACATAATCGGGGCGAACCGGGATTCGAACCCACAATCATAGGTTTCTGGCATGCCCAAGGGACGCAACTCTGCACAACGAATCGCGGCGCCTTAGACGACTTGGCCACCCGTGCCCCCTATACCCACATTGACTATTACTTGTCATGTTATGCACCACTGGTTCGGGTATTATTTTCCATCACCTTAAATCTTGTTCTTTTCATTGTTTAAATATTTATCATTTTTTCCAGTTTCATAAAAGCATCCAATCAGTGTCGCATGGGCGTAAACAACATGTTTGTTCTCCAACTGTTAATCACATTGTCAACATACTCAGACTTATTGACGCTTGTTGGACATGTTCATGTTTGATACCCTACAATGGAGGTGACGTTTCAATAATGACACCGAGTATACTGTTGAAACCAGGTTGTCCAAGGACCTTTCAAAATGTGTCACAGCTAACGCTGCCATTGACATATAAATTGTGTCACCGGTGGAGCAGGATACGCTCACCTTTTCGGGAACACCTGGTATCATAAAGTCATGCTTATGAAATAGTCGGAATCGTACAGTGGACTCGGCTTTCAGCAGATGATTATGGAAATGACTTTGTCGCTTTTATTTATATGCTTAAATGCAGGTGTACATAAACTTTCAGAACAGTAAGTAAGTCTTGTATAGTTGAACTGCTTACCCTTTAAAGGACACAGCGGAAGGGGGTTGGTTCCTGTCTGTAAATCAAAGGGAGAAAGATCCATCAACTGTAAATGGAATTCTCCTTCTTGACTCATTTTCGAATTGGACGAAAACAGTGCAAGATTTTCCTAAAAACGATTTCACAATGATTTTTACAAGGTAAGCAACATTCTTCTTTATATTTTGGTTTTATGTAAAACATAAACTGTAGTGATGTGAAGCTGTGTATCCTAGGGATCATGTGTCCTGTTCCGGGTCAGAATACGTCACCACAATGCCTGCATGACGTGATGGTGTTTAGTTTAGTTTAGTTTGTTTGTTGGTCAACACCGCACTCAGCAATATTCCAGTTATATGACGGCGGTCTGTAAGTTATCTAGTCTGGACAAGACAATCAAGCGATTGATATCATGAGCATCGATGCACGATGTCTGACCCGACGATGTCAGAGAAATATTTCCTTGTTCATCCAACCTCAAGATACAGGAGTGTTTTAACAATGAGTTATGAAGTATGACCTATTTTCAATATAATATACATTGTTATTTCTAATTTGACAACGTAGATTATTGTTTATCTTGTTATATGGTTGACTAAATAATAAATGTAATGAAACGATTGATTGGTTGAATGATTTCTGTATCGTTATTGCAGTCACAAGATGTACAGATATGAGGAAGATCTTTTGGGTGTGTACTCATTTCTACCCTTTTTTAAGTAACCACAGTCATTTCATCTCTTTCATTTTGACATTTAAATACTTCAACGGATATTACACACACACACACACACACACACACACACACACACACACACACACACACACACACACATATATATATACACACTTTTATGAATGTTTATATACACACACGCAAACATGTTATACATACAATGTATATAATCTTTTTTTCTTGGGAATTGACTTAATATACTTGGGACAATTAATATTCGCAACAAAATCGCAATTATATTTTTCGCATTACTTGCCTCTTCTGACCAGAAGTTTGTTTTTAACGATAATATAAACTCTCCATGTAATTCCAATGACCATGTTATTTAACAGGTATCAGTCAGACAGCATCTGTTTGCAAGGAAGGCAAGGGCATATCGATTGTAAAGGTTGACGGAAGCTTCATGACAAATACACGAACAGCGTCGCATGAACTTGGTCACGGGTAATACAGAAAAATTGAGACTATCACTTAATGTTCTTGGTGGAGGGAGGTTTATAGAGGCAGAATAGTATTCACGACATGTGTACGAATTATTTCTTCGGGTACAAACTGAGGTAACATATTTTATGCCTCGATTTTCGGGTACATTATAATGCTTTTAAATCCCAAGGCCTAACTCCACGAATATCAAATGGTCGGACCCTTAAACCTTTTATTCAATACCCTCTATAACTGTTGTAGGTTTCTTTTATATGGATATGAAATAAAGCTTACATGTGATGTTGAGCACTGTATTCCAACAATGTCAACAGAAATGGACTTCACTCATTGTACCCATGTTGCGAATCGAATTCGGGCCTTCGGAATGATGACCAAACGCTTTAACAACTTGGCTATCCTTCTGCCCAACAAGGGATCAGTTTATGGAACCGTAAAAATATGTTTTTATGTATTAAAGTAATCTCAATTATAGAGCATTTTGAGTAGAATGGTGTACAGATGATTACACAGAAAGTGACAACATGGCACTGAAATCAAAGAGTGTTTTTTAATGTGAAATTGAGTCGACTCATTGTGTGTTTGTTGCGATATTAAATAGAGTAGACACACGAAAAGAATCCAGAGAGATTGTTGGGATATCAAATAGAGTAGACACACGAAAAGAATCCAGAGAGATTGTTGGGATATTAAATAGAGTAGACACACGAAAAGAATCCAGAGAGATTGTTGGGATATTAAATAGAGTAGACACACGAAAAGAATCCAGAGAGATTGTTGGGATATTAAATAGAGTAGACTCATTAAGAGAATCCCGAAAGATTGTTGGGATATTAAATAGAGTAGACACACTAAGAGAATCCAGAGATATTGTTGGGATATTAAATAGAGTAAGCTCATTAAGAGAATCCTGAGAGATTGTTGGGATATTAAATAGAGTAGACACACGAAGAGAATCCGGAGAGATTGTTGGGATATTAATTAGAGTAGACTCATTAAGAGAATCCGGAGAGATTGTTGGGATATTAAATAGAGTAGACTCATTAAGAGAATCCTGAGAGATTGTTGGGATATTAAATAGAGTAGACACACGAAGAGAATCCGGAGAGATTGTTGGGATATTAATTAGAGTAGACTCATTAAGAGAATCCGGAGAGATTGTTGGGATATTAAATAGAGTAGACTCATTAAGAGAATCCCGAAAGATTGTTGGGATATTAAATAGAGTAGACACACTAAGAGAATCCAGAGATATTGTTGGGATATTAAATAGAGTAAGCTCATTAAGAGAATCCTGAGAGATTGTTGGGATATTAAATAGAGTAGACACACGAAGAGAATCCGGAGAGATTGTTGGGATATTAATTAGAGTAGACTCATTAAGAGAATCCGGAGAGATTGTTGGGATATTAAATAGAATAGACACACCAAGAGATTCCCAAGAGATTGTTGGGATATTAAATAGAGTAGACACACGAAGAGACTCCGGAGAGATTGTTGGGATAATAAATAGAATAGACACACTAAGAGAATCCAGAGAGATTGTTGGGATATCAAATAGAGTGGACTCATTAAGAGAATCCGGAGAGATTGTTGGGATATTAAATAGAGGGCCAATACAAATTGGGAAGGATTCCATAGTCGTCTGCAGAAATCTTTAAGGGCGTTGTGACATGTGTATATTGTGTACTCTTATGGAAGGTAAAATGTAGAGTTACATCAAAACAATTTGAGGATGTTGTGCTATCTCAAATTAAGCAAATAATCAAAACTACTATTAATTACACATTTGAATTGCATATGTTTTTCTCCATGGTCTCCCCAGTCGTCAGACATTGGTGAGGTTTGTTTATTTGATTCGATAGGTATATAGAAACCCACTTAACCCTGTTTGTGATTTTAAACTGTCTGACAAATTGGGAGGCACCGTATTTTCACGGATGAAAAATATCTTGTTACTACCCGGACAACATTTAAATTACCTTAATCAACATTGTCTTTTTCATGTGATTATGTTCAGGCTCGGTGCCAAACACGATGGTGACGGCAACACGTGCAAGGCAGAAGACCAGTACATCATGTCTGCAAAACTCAAGATTGACACCTCAGGTCATCAGTTCCAGTTTTCTTCATGCTCCTCAACATACTTTCGACACTACCTTCAAGGCGTTTTAAGAGATGGGTTTGTGCTTTTGACACTTTGCCCTGTACAGCTTTCCGTGACATTGTGCACATGGCTTGTGTGATTAATGTCTTTTTATGGATGCCGTTGTACAGTTTTCCGTGACATTGTGCACATGGCTTGTGTGATTAATGTCTTTTTATGGACATCATTGTACAGTTTTCCGTGACATTGTGCACATGGCTTGTGTGATTAATGTCTTTTTATGGACATCATTGTACAGTTTTCCGTGACATTGTGCACATGGCTTGTGTGATTAATGTCATTTTATGGACACCGTTGTACAGTTTTCCGTGACATTGTGCACATGGCTTGTGTTATTAATGTCTTTTTTATGGACATCATTGTACAGTTTTCGTTGACATTGTGCATATGGCTTGTGTGATTAATGTCTTTTTATGGACATCATTGTACAGTTTTCCGTGACATTGTGCATATGGCTTGTGTTATTAATGTCTTTTTATGGACATCATTGTACAGTTTTCCGTGACATTGTGCATATGGCTTGTGTGATTAATGTCTCTTTATGGACATCATTTAATTTTCTACGTACATGCTCGCGTGCACGTGGTTCTCTGATTTCACACGTGGCAAAAATGGTTTCGCACTCTTTACCTATGTGGGGAACTGAACCCATATAAGGCGCCGTTGATATTGATGAAAATAACTTGTACTGGAGACGTATTAACATAAGCCTTCTCGGCTTGTTTACCGATCCAGATTCATTGTATAAAAATGTTTAAATCATATTGATACCTAAAATCAAACTTTTGATATCTATTAATATTTTATATGTATAATGATGTTATGACATCATAAAATTAAAGTTTTGATACTGATACTTAATTTTGTTATAACAATTAATTAATTATTGATATCACAACATCGGGAACATTCAGTAAAACGGCGCCTAATAAACACGGGCCATCGGTGTGGTTGGTTGGTTGGTTTGTTGTTTAACGCCGTACTCAGCAATAGTTCAGCTATAGGAAGGCGGTCTGTATATAATCTGGTCTGGACCAGACAATCCAGTGATTGACATCATGAGCATCGATCCACGCAATTGGGATCACATGCATCAACCAAGTCAGCGAGCCTGACCACCCGATCCCGTTAGTCGTCTCTTACGACAAGCATTGTCGCCTTTTACGGTAAGATTCTGTTACTGAAGAGCTATTCTCTCCCGGATCTTCTTGGGTCCCTTCGGTGTGAGGAACGAATGTTTTACACACTAGCTTGTCTGTTACCCGAGAGCCCCCATAATAACCTGTTAGGAACTGGATAAAGATTTGCAAGTCGGATACGAAACAATGAAATGTAGTAAATGATAAAGGGGTGACAGGAAGATTTAAACATAATTGAAATAGTTAACTGTGTCTGTTTAGCATTCAAACTTGGCTTCCACAGGAGAAGTCGCTTGGGCGATATCAAGCCATGTCTCCAAGGAGATATCGCTGGAACGAAATTCTATCACAATGCTTAGCAGACCTTTGTGACGTCATCGGTTACCCTAATGTCACAATCAAATGACATCACTAATCCCCCTGCTACTTAAGCTGGTTATTTCCGTATATAACATAGCTACGCGATAAATCGCAAAGAACAATGAAGAACGAAGCATGGTTTTTTTCACGATACAACATTGTTCTTTCATGACGTCATTTCTTGAGATTCGAATATTCGCAACTTGATGACGTCGTAAATTGGACGACGCTATTTTTGAAAGGGAAGTGTCTTGTGAGTTGTTCACCATAGATGTAACTGGACAGCGTAGATGAACGCAATGGCCGAACGATCGCAACCAAAAATGGGGGAGATATGACAATCGGTATTGGGAAAAAAGGTACCGATAATCGACGTGAAACTTGTAAGAATATGCGGGAAAGACCAAATTTAACCCCCTTGTTCATAAAGTGGACTTGTCCGACATTGCCGCGGTCGGATTCTATTGAGGGAGTCATCATTATTTAAATACGGGTAAATATGTTTAAAGCGTGTACATTTTACTTACATCTGTATAGAGGCTGTACGAAAATTGATCTCTCATATAAGAAACAAACGACTCATGGTCGGTTTTTTCTTAATTACAAGCTGAAAAAGTTGGATATCAATGATATCAACACGTGAAAAGTATAAGCTACGAGGCTTATCTATTTGTTTTGCCATGTAAGCACTGATTCTCATGCTAATGTCTAACAGTGTGTTGCAAATGTAGTGGACACCAATTTTATCTTCACAGGACTTCATATTCAGTACAGTGTCTAACAACAAGCCTGACTGCTATCAACGTGTCGTCGACAGTACAGTTGCCCGGACAAGTCTATAACATAGATGATCAATGTCGAAATATTAAAGGCCCACGCTCTTACTTTTGCCGTGTAGGTTCATTTCCATTGTGTCAATCGTACAAAATGAAATATCATTAATGACATATTTTTATGTTGCACATCTATCCGACGGCAAACTTAAACCATGAATATATTTGAACAGTACACCCTGTCACTGATGCTGATCCACACCCCTGTCCCTTAATGGGGGTACCAGTCAGAATACACCCTGAGTAAACTATGCTTGTCGTACTTAATGGTTCGGGTGGTCGACTCTGTTGTCGGCATCCTACCCCAACATGGCGCGTTGCTCATTTGTTTGTCTGGTCCAGAATTTATGGTTACTGAAATATTGATGTGAGACCTTAAACAGCAAAGAAATCAATGATTTTTGTTTGTGTGTTGTTTAATGCCACACTCAGCAATATACCAGCTATATGACGTCGGTCTTTAAATAATCGAATCTGGAGCAGACAGTCAAGTGATTGACATCATGAGCATCGATCTACGTAATTTGGATACGATAAAATGCATGAACCAAGTCAGCGAGCCTGACCAACCGATCCCGTTAGTCGCCTCTTACGACAAGCATAGTCGCTTTTTACAGCAAGCATAGGTTTTTAAAGACCTATTCTACCCCGGATCGTCACATGAATGGACATTAATGTCCTGTAAACATTCATGCCAAGTAAAATCTGGTCAACTTAAAATAGTTATTTAATATTTGAATGAATATATATATATATCTACACTTCTTCACGTAACAATATTTTGTAAGTAAGTAAATTAAATCTGCATATTAATGTTAATTTCAATAGGCTTGAATATTAATAAGCAGATGGTCTTTAGATCCGATTGGGTGCGTAAGTAGAATTGTGATGGCCACGGCACCCCAACACGAGGACTCAGTTTCAGCCATGTGTGCTGCGGAGGCATTGGCTTCATATCGCTTTTCATTGATCTGAGAGGGGCGGTCGGGTAGCCTAGTGGTTAAAGCGTTCGCTCGTCACGCCGAAGACCAGGGTTCGATTCCCGACATGGGTACAATGTGTGAAGCCCATTTCTGGTGTCCCCCGCCGTGATATTGCTGGAATATTGCTAAAAGCGGCGTAAAACCATACTCACTCACTCATTGATCTGAGGCCCCGTGAAGATCCGGGGTAGAATATCTCTTCAGCAACCCATGCTTGCCGTAAAAGGCGACTAACGGGATCGGGTGGTCAGGCTCGCTGACTTGGTTGATGCATGTCATTGATCCCAATTGCGTGGATCGATGCTCATGATATCAATCACTGGATTGTCTTGTCCAAACTCGATTATTTACAGACCGCCGCCATATAGCTGGAATATTGCTGAGTGCTGCGTTAAACAACAAACCAACCAACCAACCAAACATTGATCTGAGCATTTTGTGAGTGACTAGTGGCAGGTTAATCTTTGACAATTACGATATATACTTATAATTATAATTACTTATATAATTTTGATATTTATAATTACGTACATAACTTTCCATCCAGGGTGTTGACATAGGCAGCGCGGACAACGTCTGCAGAAATATGCACTGTAACAACGTAGATGATCCTCAGCTGTGCACTTTATACTTTGCAGCCGATGGAACCCCGTGTGGTAACAAAAAGGTGATATGTTACCTACAATATTCTCATGTAAGATAAAAAGCAACATAATACAAAAAGTTCTACAACACGCACACGCAATTCGTTGGTTGTCAAAAACATAAATTTTCGTTTCAGTGGTGTTACGGTGGGACCTGCGTTCCTTCGGTCCTGGCACCATCTAAATACGGTAACACGTCACGTCATGTCATGTCACCGCCTCCATTATGTTAACATCAGGGTATTGAATAAATATTACATTGATGCTTACATCATTCAAATATCTTTAAATAAATAAAATTGAAAAAAAATTCAAATAATACATGCAACTGTAACTATTTGTAAAAAACTGATATAAATTTGTTTAAAATGAACCAGTAAACACATACGGACAACCGGACAACGTAATTATGAATTTCAATCCATCCTCATATCTGGCTGAAATCGAAACAGATTTACCAATGACTCTTCTGTGGTCAGTACCGCTCACATCTGACACCTTGGGGTATTGAAATGACAATATAAAATACATTTGTTATTTCAGTCAGAAATGTGGACATTATGAATGCGAGCTGATTGGTTTGTAGGCTTGTAATACAACGTGCACATACGTATATCACCCAAGCTGGACACATGATACTGCTTATAATATGCTTTCTCCTTTGTTTTATTTCCCCAAGACACCTGCGTGTTTGGTGACACTGTCAAAACAGTAAACAAAAATCAAACATGCTCTGAGTTCATTACTACGAAAAACAGATACTACTGCTACAACGACAACAACTACCGCTTATGCTGTGGGACGTGTGAAAGCATAACGTCCCCTGATAAAGGTCAGTAAAACCTTCAACTTTCATATACAGTAAACTACGGTTATAACGAACTCGAAGGGACCACCAATTGTAGTTCGTTGTAAGCAAACATACAGCATATATACAACAAATGGTCGGGATTAAAAATTAGTTCCGAACTTCGTTATATCGGTCGGTTCGTTATAAGCGTGTTCGTTATAAACGTAGTTTACTGAATATGTGCAAGACCTGACAAAACTAGTGCAACCACAGCGACAAGTGTTGTATTGTTTCCCGAAACATACATGTTGGGAATATTGAGCTGTATTTCGCCAATGAGTACGCCGCTTTTAGCAATACCACGACGGGGGCACCAGTAATGGGCTTCGCATATTTTACCTGTTTGGGGAATCGAAACCGGGTATTCGGCGAGAAGAGCGAACGCTTTAACCACTAGGCTACCCCACCTCCCCATTTTCGGAAAGTCAGCCTCAGTGTATAATTTGCTATCGATCAACATTTAAATTAAGGTCACGCCTATCGCAATTTTGTGTTACTTGTGATTCCAGTTTCAATATATACTACTCAAAAAAGGTTAAGCACCACCGATTCTTTTATATTACTTTAGTTGATCTGTCATGTCATGAAATAATAATTATAGGTATGTGAGTGAGTATTCCACTAACATCACGTCGTGTCAGCGTAATGTGACAGGAAAGCCCGAAGTGATGCAGGTCTCAGACGTTTACCACTTTCGTGAAACCCACAAGCACGGGTATGGTGCTGACAAACCTAGAAACATAATCGGGATGAACCGAGAGTCGAATCCGCAATCAGCGCATTCTGGCGTCTCCAAGGGACGCAACCCTGCACAGCTAATTGCGGCGACTTAAAGGACTGGGCAGCACATTCCCCCTATAGTCATATGAAAAAATCGGGTTGTCCTGAAATGTAATTCTGTATACATGCATTCCTCCCAATGCTGGCTAAGGTGAAGAATGGGATTAGCCGAGTATTCTCATTCATAAGAGGCTATCATAAGGTACTAGTAATCTACATTGGAAACGAATACTGTGTCAATCTTTGTTAAACACACGAGTACAATAGTCACACGCTGGCAGAAAAGTTCACTTTCTATTTAAAGATTGTCGATGGGGTAACAATTACTGGACAGTTAATAGCTGTGATGAAGACAAGTGCAATTCTACCATCAACGGTGCAATGTACTACGACATCTGCTGTCAAACATGCGCCTTCATGAGGCCAGCGCCAACATCATTGCCAACTAGCTCTGCCACAGGCCTAACTAGTCCAGGAACAAACTTGCCAACCAGCTCTACCAAGAACCCTGTAAATACAAACGTTGGCACAACCACATCGACGTCACATTACCAAGGTAAATGTTAAATGTTCTTCTGCTGAAGCTTCAAGAAATAATATACGTATTGACAATATGTGTTATTTAAGAACTGTGCATTCTCTAAAATATATACCTAAACTGGCCGGCAAAAGAAAACATATGTCGAGTTTGATCGACAAAAAAGAATCAACACAGGATTCTGTTGATTCTGTTGTCAATGTAATGTATTGTATTGTAATCCAGAGAGTGGCTACAGATGATCATTCAGTCATATCCTGAATGAATTAATGACAACACACGTCATGTGATCACAAGTAGAGCAATGGTGGGGAACGACTTTCCAAACGACATTTGAACTGTCGTGCAAGATTGTCGGGCTCACTTAAAGTTCAAGTTCATCCACGACACAGCTGTCCTTCTCAATAACGTCCGGTAGATGTCGTCAGATGCCTGATGACGTTCACTGGAATCCTTTTCCACTCTACTCTCAGGGCCTGTTCCAGCTCTTTCTATTGACAGTGGGTTGTCGGTGGCTACTTATCTGTCTGTCAAGGTGGTCCCACTGATGCTCTATCGGATTTATGTTAGGTGAATGGGCAGACCATGGCAGAAACGTGTTGATTTTGTAAAGGTGTGTGGGGAGGTGTGTGTGTGTGTGTGTGTGTGTGTGTGTGTGTGTGTGTGTGTGTGTGTGTGCGTGCGCGCGTAACTGACTGCAACACTTGGTCTATGTACTGCACAGCGTTTCCCTGCAGGTCTCGAGACATTCCGGCCTATACCATGAAGACTCATCTACCGAATGGTCGGATCTTTCGAATACATGCAGGAGCCTCTCTGGTGTTGTGACCCTTCCTGTCCTGTGTCCTCCCTGTCTGTCAATCTGTCTCGTTACATAAGCCTGGCTACCGTCACTGGCGTACCGTGTACACTCCATCTTCCAGAGGCAAGGGAGTTAACTGACTATAAAAGGTCAGTTTCCACCCTTGCCGAACTAGGCTGCAATTATGAGTTATCTTTTGGCTGGACTAACGAGTCTATGCAAAGCCCAATCATAATCGCGTGACGAAATCGACATCCGGTTCGTAAACCACATGGATTTCAACGTGCAGATTTCGGCCGACTGCGGGATTTGCAAAAGAGGTGTACCGTCAACTGGGCGTCGACAGATATTTTCCAAAATAGTTTCATGTTTAAATCAGGGTGCTCACGTTATTTGATGCACTTCGCGAGGTAAGACCCGATTAATTACAATATTTATCTTGATCATCGACCATTTTGTTTGCAGCAATTGCAAGTGATATGAGTGATGGAATCTGATTGGGCAATAGGAGGGGCATAGAAGGGACATAACTCGTATCAACCACTGGTGGCGCTAGTATCAAGCCAAGAAACTCCAGCCTAGTTTGGCACGCGTGGAAAGTGAACATTTAGAGTCAGTTCACTCCTTTGTCTCGGGAAGATATATATATCAATACTGAACTATTTTCAGCTGGATGTCTGAGCTGTCCAGATGATTGGGTAGCACACGATGGCTCTTGTTACAGCTTTGTAACCAGTCAGAAGACATGGTCAGAGGCAATGGTTCGTACTGACCTCGTTCTTGAATATAGTTACAATTATAAGTAGACGTGGGGGTTAACATGTTTCGTAATGTTTTAAAATTCAGTAAACGTACGACTAATATCTCAACACTTACTTGTACGTATGTTTCACATGTTGCTTCTACTACCTACTTAATGTAAGGCATCAAGGTGATACATTTGTATAACGTGTTCCAACTATAGACAGCCATTGGAGATACTGGATCAGAATTGGTCCCCATTATTTATGCTGGTTGTGAGAGCCGACTAACGCTGAGGAGATGGCAAGGATTGGGAACGTGGCTAATGACGTGGATCTGTGTTCGTTCTTTAAGTATCTCGTTTTTCATGTCCAGACTCGACTATTTTCATATCTCCGTTTTGATGCGGGAATATTGCTGACCGTCGAGTTAAACAACCCTTCCTCCCTCTCTCTTCACTGTGGCATCACTTCGACAACATGCACCATGATCTTATCCATTCCAGACTAGTTGCCAGGCCTCTGGTGCCAACTTAGTCAGCATAGAAACATCTGCAGAGAATGAATTCCTGAAAAAGTTTCTGCTCAGATTCTCAAGTGAGTAATATAAAGTCAGCTGTTGCCAATGCACACATCAACACACTTGTTAAATTCTATACACATGAATAACTCATGAGGTATTTCGGAGACGACCGTCAAGCTTCGAAGAACGCATTCCCACGCAACCACTGACACTCTGTAACTGTCGGCGTTCAGCATGTTTCCCTGTGAAGATCCGGTTTAGAATTGGTCTTCAGAAACCCTGCTTAACAGGATCGAGTGGTCAGGCTTTCTGACCTGGCTGATGCATGTCATCCTATTCCAATTGCGTAGATCGATGTTAATGTCAATCATTGGATTGTATGGCCCTGAATCAACGTCATGTAGCTGAAATTTGAGTGCGGCCTTAAACAACAACAAACAAACACTACATGTTTAATACCTTGGAACAAGACAAGTTTTATGATTATTGAGCATTGGTCTGTCAAGTATTAAACCCGGATGCTCGTGAGTGCCATTTGTATTTTCCGTCCAAACATAGCTCACACAGTTATAGAATGAAATGACCCGTGAAGATCCGGGGTAGAATAGGTCTTCAGCAACCCATGCTTGCCGTAAAAGGCGACTATGCTTGTCGTAAGCTAAGAGGCGACTGAAGGGATCGGGTGGTCAGGCTCGCTGACTTGGTTAATGAATGTCATCGAATCCCAATTGCGTAGGCGACTATGCTTGTCGTAAGAGGCGACTAACGGGATCTGGTGGTCAGGCTCGCTGACTTGGTTGATGCATGTCATCGTTTACCAATTGCGTGGATAGATCCTCATGATATCAATCACTGTATTGTCTGGTCAGACTCAATTATTTACAGACCGCCGTCACATACCTGTAATATTGCTGAGCGCAACGTTAAAACAACAAAACAAACAAATTATTAATGAAATACAACACAGTGAAATACCAAACTCACACCAACACGTGCTCTTCGTTTTGTGAAGCATGCTCCTCTGGTTGGAGTAGCTGGGTTGGAGGGACAGACAAGCTGGTTGAAGGACAGTGGCTTTGGTCCAACACCGGAAGGACAGTATCCTACACTGACTGGGGTGACAATCAGCCTGACAACGGCCAGTCTTCCAGTAACGACTGTATGCTCATGTGCTTCAGTGAAAAGTACCGCTGGGGAGGTGAAGACTGTGGAACCAAGCAAAGCTCCATCTGCGAAAAGAAGTAGGGTTATATAAGCGACAAAACTATTTTCATGATAAACGTATTTTTTTTCATAAAACATCCTTTGGAAACAGATTCCTTGGGGGGTAAAATGTAAAATAGGGGTGAAATTACTAGGAATTGACCACTGGAAATCAGGGAGGTACGTAAGAACTCTCTGCTAAAAGGAGAGTCTGGTCCAGACTCGATTACTTTCAAGCCTCCGTTGTATCTATAGCTGGAACAGTGAGTGTGGCGTTAAACAACAAACAAAGAAACTACTTGTTTTATCTTGTATATTTATTTTATATAAATTAATAGTCGGAAAGGAACAATAAGTTGACAACGCAACTAGCGTCAACTCATGGAATATAATAGTAACTTTCTAATGAGTGAGTGAGTGAGTGAGTATGGTTTTACGCCGCTTTCAGCAATGTTCCAGCAACATCACGGCGGGGGACACCGAAAATGGGCTTCACACATTGTATCCATATCGGGAATCGAACCCGGGTCTTCGGCGTGACGAGCGAACGCTTTAACCACTAGGCTACCCGACTGCTCCAACTTTCTTATGGGTCCGCAACACCTCACATCACGACTATAACATACATATATTTTGACTTTTGAACTTATATTGAACTAATGTTATATTGTGAATTATACAATCATATACTTTGCTGACGCAGTGGTATGTTCCTCAATCTCTAGTGACAGTATATTGGTAACATGACAGTTCATCGCATACCTTCCCAAACTTGATGCTGCATCCTCTCCAACAGGTTGTCACCTCTTCAAGTTCCACTGGTTGGCTAACTACACAACTATCCTACAACCACAACACCGAGTTTACAATGGTTATTTGCGTGAATAATCTGCATAACTCACTACAAAGATAATAAATTAATTATCTGATGATTCGGGACTTTGTTTTGTTTTTGCCATGTATAAATATCCAAACGGGTCTGACGCTACATAAACACCTGTACTGCTACAAAACATTTATCTCTTCGTTTTTTTGTGAAACCACAGCGGTACAATACAGTATTTCCGTAAACAATACCGCGGTAATTTAGCATTTGTTTTCTAAAGACCTATTCGTTTCCGGAAAAAAACACCATTCCTTGTATCTTGTGAGCATCAGTGTATGTGTTGCATATGATATGCATCCCCGTTAATATTCTTCCGAAACGTTTGAGCATTTTTACAAATCAAATATTAAATATAGTATGGGCATATAAAGTCTAGTTTCATCTGTGAATAATTACATAAATTTACAAAGCTCTTAGGTATAATGGAAATATACAAAGGTATCGCTGCAGGGAAGGGGAAGTAACTCTTGATGCTCTGAGATGCACGTCCTTCTGTGTCGGCTAATATATACCATGGAACCTGCAACCGTTAACTTTCATTATAGCTAAAATGGATAGAATTATCATTAAACCGCCCGCACGTTATCAGAAATGAGCGGGCCACTGTAACTTGATAATGCCCTCATAATGCTTGACGACGGGCCATTATCAAGCCCGTTGTGAGGTGACGTCATAAGGTAGAGAAAGTGACGTCACGTATTATAGTGACGTCATCTGGTTTGTTCTATGACGTTTCCATGTTTGTAAAATGGGGTCAGTGACATTCGTGTTGATTGCAAAATTTTTAAAAACCGATGTTGTTGTTTCTTTTTATTTGATAACAAATTCCATCCATTTTAGCTGTAATAACGATAACGCTATTTTTCAGGGCATTATCATATGCAGAAGCCCTCGGTCTTTTCAACTGCCCTCCTTCGTCGGGCAGTTAATGGAAAACCTCGGGCTTCTGCAAATGATAATGCCCTGAAAAATAGCGTTATCCTTATATTAAAACCCCCTGGATGCCAGAGGGACATATATGTCCTTCCTCTACAACCCTCACTTTGAAGTCGAATAAAATTCAAAATACATCACCAACACAAATACACTTCACAATTTTGAATAAGGTGGGACATTTCCTGTTCTGTGATATCATCCACTGGCATTTTAGGCCAAGCAAAAGTACTGAAAATGACCTCTGAAAATTAGGTACATTGTAAATGTCGCCATTTTTTACACATTACTAAATCACCGCTCACGGCGTTATTTACAGCATGTTTTGAAATCTATATTTAGGATATCTACTCGGAGAAATGAATTTCAAAAATAGCATATTAGTGATCACGGGTATCTGTCTTTTATGAAAACACCAATGATCATTCCAAAGCGTCTCCCATAACCCGAGAATCGTTTAGAATGTTTTGGAAAATACGCAAACACGAACGCCAAAGTGAACTTTCCGCCATATTGGCTAGTGTTTACAAAATCACGTTTCAGGTACACCGGTTATGAGGCGCCTGTAACATCGCGTATATGTCAAACTTAGCTGCCATGCACACATCCTTGAATTCCTTATACATTTTAGGATCAAATGACCAATGGTCTCTGTCACCAATACAAAGTGGCTGGATGAAATCAAGCAAAATATGTTATGTGTGAAAACGAACGCTGTCCTCGAAAAACTGCACTTGTTTGAAATGTAAACAAAGCAAAATTCAGATTTTACACAGTGTAGAATTTTCTCCTATTTTGAGCTATCCATTCGTCTATTCGTTAAGATATAGGCTCAACATTTTCAGAATATGCATGGGAAGAGAATCGTAGGAAGAATTAGGGAATTTCAAATAGATACATTGCAATGATTTGATATTTTCAACAGAAGTTGTCAAAGTTACCGTTCTGGTTGACGCCATGACTGACGCAAAATCACGCACAACGACAACGGTATTTATCGGAATTTCTGACTATTTCCGTTTGTTTCAATGAAAATTATGACAACAAACAACAGTACATAGATTGTCAGAATGTTTCTGATTACTTACATGTCACATTTATGTTTATACGATCCCTGAATCAACGAAAGTCCCCTGGTACAATCCCGCGTACTGTTGACAGTGTACACGCCATTTTGTAAAAGTGGGTCACAGGTAGTGATGTCATACGTCAACATTGTTGTACATATTTGGTAATTTCATTGAGGTGAAGGTCCTTGAATGAGAGTGCACACGATCATTGTATCATGCTGTTTACAGTTTCAGTTATGGTGTATATTCTGCATGTCTTTTATACATTTTTTCACACAATTAATTTTACTTTGGATATTTGTCAATGTTCAAAATGAAATCATACGTACATATAGGCCACAACATGTATGAACGAACCTTTGATAATCTCCTGTTTGTTTGAACATTGTTTACATAAGAATGTGATAGGTTTATAGTGTCGACTACGATATTTCTTATTTCCTTTGGACAAGTGTTACAAGATGAAGTGTAAATGTAACTGCAGCATGTACGTATTTCTTTGGATGTGTAATAAGTCAATATTATAAGATCATATAACCAATGTCCATGAATAGCCGTTTCATTTTATTTTATAACTAAAACTGATTATATTACTTTAACAAAATGGATAATATTTTTCGGTAAAATATATGCACACATTTCTATAATGTCTTGGTCTTGGAATTGTCTTTTATGTCGTTAGATACAGAGAAAAGTGATATCTTACGATTCGCCAGGTGCGCGTTAGTCACAAACAATTTACGAATTATTCCTCTCGTTTTGCATTATATAATCAATGGTTTCATTCTTTTGTCAATATTGTGATCACAGGATAGTAAACAGTTTACTTTATTTCTCCAGGAATTGTAAAATGTATAAAAATAAAACCCATGCCAGGTACCCCGTTGGTTCAACCGTATACGATTATCCTGATAATTCTATACCAATAGAGCTTTCTTTGCATCTTTTATTGTGTAAGAAATAATAACATAATAATGAACAAATATTTGTCCAATATTGAATATATGTTTGGTTGTTTTAAAATATTCTTTTGGGAATTTTATTACGTAAATTTATGCTAAACAGGTGCGTGTCTTGTCCAATTAAGATACACGATAAACTATCTAATTGTTTACATATTCAAGACATTATTAGCTTGGTGGGGAGCAGTAATTTTATGTTGTGTCGAAAAAGCGTCAAATTCCGTTCCACACATCGAGATTTTCCATACCATGAAAGAAAATTAGGGGAGATATATATTAATCAAAATACAAGTGTCGTCTTTCTCCGACGTTATCAAAGACATGAAACCAGCCATGACGTCAAAAGGAATCGTGTTATTTTTCGGGTATTTCATTACATTTGATGATAAGGCATGTGCTCCATTAATAATGATGCAACATTAGTCAAATTACACTTACACAATCAGGAGAATGTTGGAATCTAAGGACTAAGTTATAGGTTAGATAAGGCCATCCATTTCTCTATTAACTCCTTTTTAATGAAGTACGATTTCATAATTTCTTATGGGTATATTTTATAACTAAACGTGTACAGTTTCAATATCGATATTTGTGTTGGAATAGTTTGGTTCCTCCTGAACAAAACACCACGAAAATACATTGACCTTACCCACAGCTAATTCTCACCAAGTGACCTGAGTTACAACAAACTAGAGCTAAGCATAGCGGAGTTATGTCCCCTTTTCTTTGTACGTGTGAAATCTCTCTGTCACCTTTTGACGTCATAGAGAAAAAGCAGTTTTCGTCATTTACGGCATGCTATTTTTGGAATTGAATGTATGTCGATATACAAACGCATATAACTCCATTTGATATGTAGTTATGTCCTTCAGATGTTAGGCAGTATTTTGTTCGCTCACAGTTTCCGTAAAGCTTCTTAATTAAACAATTTGTCGCACAGTACTTTTATCGGTGTACAATAAAAAGCAGAGAAATTAACTGTTTTTAAACGCAGAATATATTCTCGGACAACACTTAGGAGTGTCTTTTTTTGTAAACCGGTTTGATATTTACAGTTAAATTTACACCATCAAATAGGAAATTTAATATTCTTCATCTCTGCGTAATTTTATAGCCAGAGGTAGATCCAGTGCCGCGTGAGCGCAATTCTCGCACAACCTTCACTTTTCCGATCTTAGGAAAATGTACGTCAGAAAAAAAACTCGGCATCCAGAGGGTTAAAGGGCAAGTTCACACGGAAATTAACCTATTTTTCTTGTACTTTTTCCACATTAAAAGTGTTAACCTAGAAGTATCATAGACAAAAATATAAAAATATCACAATTAATTAACATATTTTTCGCATTAAAACGATTTATATTTTTCACATTTACCAAGTGTTCTATTTCCACAACAAAAACACCATGGCTTATGCCCCTTGCAATATGACGTCATTGGTGCCAATTGATAAACATTATGACGTCATCATGCTTTGTTAGAGCCGCTTCACGTGGTGTAGGTCTAGGTGTGTGATTCTAGCGTCTCAGATGCCAGCCAGCATAGTGTTATGCTGAGTCACTACTGCGCCGGAGTGTGTCGTAGGCCATGTTGTTTTACCGCAAACTGGTACTTGATATCTTTTGCGTTGAGAATAGACAGGGACCCAGTTGAATTGGCACCAATTACGTCATAATCTAAGGGGGATAACTCAGGCCTGTTTAGCTCGAAAAACGAAGGCCTCATAACGGCATATCATTTTCACACTATTGTGAGCTTCCTACTTTCACTGTGAAAAAAATGAGTGTATATTTTCAAACACAGATACTAATTAATTCTAAAATTGCGTTTTGTTTAGAAAAAGAAAGAAAGTGATTTTTGCGTGTACACTTCCCCTTTAAATGTGTTCCACTTCCATTTAGGGGCGGTCGGGTAGCCTAGTGGTTTAAGCGTTCGCTCGTCACGCCGAAGACACGGGTTCGATTCCCGACATGGGTACAATGTATGAAGCCCATTTCTGATGTCCCCCGCCGTGATATTGCTGGAATATTGCTAAAAGCGGCGTAAACCCATACTCACTCACTCCACTTCCATTTGACAAAAAA